AATAATAATAATAATAATAATAATAATAATAGTAATAATAATATAACATTTGCGCTGCGTTACTTTGTTTCTTTACAATAAAAAATATTATTTCGAAATGGTGTGGTATACACTCAATGTGTTGTATTAAATGAAAAGGTTATAAACTGACCAGACATTCATTAGGTACCTAAGATGTATTTTCATAACGTTTAATTTCATAATTCAAAATTTTGTTAAGATCGAATAAGTGGTTTTTGAAAAATCTTGCTTTAAAAGTATTCACGATTAAATGTTACTCTATTGGAGGAACAGCGCCGGCTCTCGTGGTTTAGACTTACTAAGAGGTTACGGTGTTCGTCTCTCATCTAATAGGTCCAGGGTTCGAGTCCGGACTCCGATGGAAAACTTTCTTCTCTAAAATGTTTTCTCTTTTCTCCTCCTTTCCTGTTCTATATCTATGTTCTGTCGTCTGCTTTCATCTCCATTTTCTGCTCCCAGCCCGTTAGCCCATTTACCCCCTCTTCCAGGCTCTCCTGACCCTGCTACTTCTTGGTTATTTCTTACTGCTGTCTTTTAGCCACACCCGTGATCTTAGGGTAGAAAAGATCTAACACTTAACCTTCTCGGATAAGAGCAAAAAATCTCGGAGGTCCCGTGAGCAAGTTGCACACGTTAAAAACCCCTTTATGGCCTAAAATCGATACGAGTAGGCTTCAGTGCCACCCGGCAAGATTCAAAATTCATTCTTACTAATCTAAAAATGTTGAATGTGTCCCGCGCGCTCGTATGACCATAATACATGTATGCGGTTTCGAGCGCCGTAAAGCACTCACCAAAACAAAACATCGAGGAACAGTAGACACCAGTGACAAAAACTCTTTGTATCACTCTCCCAAAGAGATGCCTTACCCGAAAAGGGAAAAACGTATTGTAAATACCGATCTCTCGTTTCAAGATCTGCATGCTATAGAAGAAAGAACTGAATCAAAACAGTACATAATAATTGATTACAGCAAGTCTTGTGACCAAAATTAAATATTTTAGAACGGTAACGATAGAACATCCATTCGGGATCTAAATGAAAGAAAAAAACCCAGCGGGAATTTGAATATGGGAAGGGTCAATCTGGGGACCGGGGGGAGGGG